CACCCCTTTAACTAGGTCTTCCCTGTTAGTTAGGATCAGATCCAAAATCTCTGACTCCCTCATTGCCTCTTCCACCTTTCGGACAATGAAATTGTCTTCGAAATCTTTTCCTAAAGATCCTACAATATGAAGACATGTTCAGAGGTAGCCACATTAAGGATTTTGGGACTTATTCTGTTTTGCTGCATGGCCAACATGGATACCTCTAAATATGTTTTTTGGGATACCAACCTTTGCTGGAAAAGGGGAAATTTTAACAAGAGGGAGCTAATGGACTGGGAGTTATGTCTTTGAGTTTGTTTTACCTCCCCCATAGGTGAAAACTTTTCACTTGGTCTACAATTAGCAAGTGTTACCTATACCTCACCTAAAGGTTTCTTCAGATTTAGCAGTTCAGGAACATCTTGAGAAAGTCAATGTGCTCTGCCTAAGAAAGGGATAATGAGCTTTGCACAGGACAGACAGCCTGAATCTAAAAGGAGCTTACTATTCTATAGCTAACAGGATTGAAATTTTATTACATGTCTTTTATTTCCTTTTGTTCCTAGTCCCCACATGTCCAAAAAGGAGAGTGGTCTCTACCTGCATTAAGATTCTAGCAGACTATGGACATTATCACACAGGGGCAAATCTGCTGGTTAATCCACACAAAATCCAGACCGAAACTGGATTAGTGCCCCATGTTTTCACATGACGTCGCACAGAAACTGGACAGAAAGTGGACAGAAACTGGTGTTAACTGCGATCTTTTGTAATCCAGTTGTCTGGAGGAAATGCAAATACGTAATTACGGTAATTGCGTATTTACCGTAATGTGATCGCCAAATGCGCATTGGGGAGCATTTCCCTGCTGTTGCCATGGATCCAGCGAGCATTCCTCTATCTGCGCATGTGCAAGAGGCTCATTTCTACTACATTTATGGGTTTTTTTCTCTTGTGTGTGGACGTTCAATGCACTCACTGTAAATTTGCAATGAAGGTAATGACGTTTGCGGAAACAAGGTTTATTTCCCGTTTATTTTCGGGATGCCTTATTTCCACTTTATTTTCACTTTCTGGGCCACGTGTGATAACGTCCTATCTTAACTGACAACAGAAGCAACAAAGAAGACAAAATTTAGACATTTTACTCATTTTCATTTTTCTTCTCCTTTATGATTTTTAATATTTTTGCCTGTTGAAAAAGTCAGTGAAGTTTCAAAAGCTTGCATGATGTATTTTGTGCATTTAGTTAGCTGATAAAGGTATTGCCTTTTGTTGATTTTGGACTGTGTTGCATTTTACACTTCAGACAGATTCATATAGGGAGATATTGTTTTGAGCTCATTCTTATAACTCTGCTATGTAAATGATTATTAGTAGGATTGCCAGCCTGAAAACTAAAGGAGCCTCCTGTGCCTTTAATGGTTGTGTAGAAGAAGGAATTTCAGAAGCTGTTGCTTGTCACTCAATAAGCAAGATCTACTGAAATCCCGCTTCTGCACAACCAGTAACGGTATAGGAGCCCTCTCCAGTTTTCACTCTGTCAACCCTTAATTAGGTGTGTTCCCCAGAGGAATAATTTTGATTTTAAAATGTCACAGTTTGAGTGTTGGACTCCAGCTTGGGTGACAAGAGTTCAAGTTCCCACTCAACCATGGAAACCCACAGGGTGACTTTGGGTAAGTCACACTCTTTCAGCTTCAGGGAAAGACAATGGAAACCCTCCTCTGAACAAATCTTACCAAGAAAACCCACCTTAGGTCGCCATAAGTTGGAAACAACTTGAAGACACACAACTAAAACAAAGCATATGCCCATGTAGCAAGTACTTTGATTTGGAAAAGACCACTAAAATCTTCTGATTTCCTAAGCCTATTTGCAACAAGCCACTCCATTTCAATGTTCATTTGAAGACCTTCTTTTTACTACAGTCCTATATAGGACTATGTTGTAAGAAATGTTTGCTATGGAATGTCTATTCAGCCTAATTTCTGAGATAAAATTTCCATTCCTGAACAATGCAAACTTCTTTATTTCATATAAATTGTGGACAAAATTTGTGCATTAAATATCTGCCATCCATGTCTTCTAATTCAAGAAATTGGACCTAGTATTTATAACATCACTTTCTGCTTTGGAATGAATTAGAGAAGGACCAAAACTTTGACCCAGAGGAAACAGAGAAGGCATATAGACTTGTAAACAAAATATGCCCATTTTCTCCCTTTTAGTGAACTTTGATCTCTGCATGAAAGGTCAGCCATCTGCATTTTATTCCGATCTCTCCATATTCCCATTTACCTAATTAATGCATCATTTCCCAGTCAGACACTTTATGAAAGGTTCATATGAAAGCATGGTGGCATAAGAGGGCTGTCAGTCTTTGGTTATGGTCCTGTAGCTCTAATTCAAGAATTAAATAACTGTCTTTTTAAAAAGTCATTACATGATTTATTGGAAAATTGGTAGAAACAGCCCCTAGGGGGTTGCGCTCCAATTCTGATTTTAAAAGAGTGGCTGCTAGCTATGACTATTTGATTTCCTCATAACCTATTGAATAGCATTGCCTGTTTCTATGCTAATTAAATGTTTGAAATTCGTTTTCTTATGGATTACATGCATTCAGTTAAGTATTTTTACTTGTGCCCTAAGATGATGCCTATTCTGATTCTTAAAACAAAATGAAAACAAAACCTCCTTCCAATGTGTTAAGTTAAATGCTTTCCCTCAGCCATTGAAGCTTCTTATTCAGCATAACTGTAAAGGGTCTTTTTTTCCTGTTGTCCAAAGTGTTGCTGCCAAAACTGTTGGCTGAGAATTACAACTGCCAGTAAATCATGTTGCATGAATGAGAAGTAATCTGTGAATTCTCTAGGGTGTAGGGCCTGTCTTTAAACATGAGCCTGATATTCAGATGAATATAAAAGACCCTTAAGATATTGAGACATATATACATGTCAGGCTAATCAATTCATTGTTCCTCATTACTATAAATGTCTTTAAAAATCTTTTCTTATATGTATCTTCTGTTATTTTTCCTTTAAAATTATTTTCTTCTATAAGTTATTCACAAGTGAATGGATTTAAAAAATAATATGTTCTAGGCTTCATGCTAGTGTAATAAGTACGTATTTTCCGGCGTATAAGATGACTGGGCGTATAAGACGACCCCCCCACTTTTCCAGTTAAAATATAGAGTTTGGGAAGAGTATGACTTCCAAAACTGTTGTTGTTGTTGCTGTGCACCTTCAAGTCATTTCCAACTGATGATGACACTAAGGCAAACCTATCACGAACCTCCTTATACCCAGCGTATAAGACGACCCCCCCACATTAACCCCAGATTTTGCAGGTTAAAAAGAAGTCTTATACACCAGAAAATAAGGTACT